TCCACGGGTGGTTCGGGGCAAATATGGATGAGTTTTTTGGTCTGGGAGGGGTAACATTAAATTTTTACTGTTAAAAACAATCTTCGAAAAAACAATATGATTAATTTTGTAATTGACAGGGTCCCCTTTTTTTTAATTTTATTTCTATTAACAAAAAATAAATAAATAAATTGTGGAGGGCCCCCTATCGGTCAGGAGCGCTTAGAATTGTCATAACTTTTCCCCCTAATGGCACCCCTGTTTGTGAATATCATATCATTATATTGCAGACTTTGGTCACAGCGTTGTCCCATATGGGGCATGTCAGTCAACACCTCCACACAATAATTCAGCGCATATGTCTCTGTACAGCTTTGCTTGGATTTTCTCATTCGGATCGGTTTCTGAAATGTTAGAGATGTGTAAGGTATATCAATACAGAGACCAGACCATGTGGCACAAACATCCATCAAGATGGATGTTTGCGTTCAAGATGGAAAAAGAAAATAAAAATTCTTCTTAAAGCCATTTAACTGAAGGGTCAAATTCTCAAACCTCTAAAGTACTTTATGGAGTCTTAATCCTATAAGATATTCTTGTAAGCTTTTGTTTTGTACGTAGGTGATTTCCAAGATGATTCAATTGTCTGTAGTTTTTAATTATTTTGTTTGGTATGCTGTACACCATTGTGCTCAGGCTAGTTCTTCCTCCAAAATGACATTTTGTCCCAAGAAGGTCTTACTGATAAAATAATGCAAACTTTTTTTTTTTTTTTTGAAGCCTCTCAAAGATCCTTTTTTCTCCGTTCTCTGGCTGCTTTTGGACATCAGCAAGTTCTCTTCACCACATCTACATGCCTGAAAGCAACAAGTTGCACCCATGACTCAATATTTGCGTTATCAAGCATCCAAACAGATGTGGTGGATGGTGCGTCTTATGTCAAACATCAAGGTCTCAGTTATTGCTTACAAATAAAAACATCTGTATATATCAAACATGAGTTAAAAGAAATTTGAATTGGGCCTCTGTCTCTTTAAGAAGCTCCTACTCGTTCTGACACTGCCTTCAGCACGTCATTAAAGCAATGCTCCGCCTTTATGCAGTTTACAACTATTCTTAGGAGCGTTGGACTGAGAAGTAGTTTGTACGGTAAACTCAGCAGACGCACAGTTCCACCAGGTGTTTACTAAGTGCTGCTGCCACTAGTCTGGAGGAGCTGAGTGGGGGCCGGCTGCTCTTTGTGGTGGAAGTTAGGCTGGAGACCGCGGCTCCAACCAGATGCTTTGGGTAAATAAGCAGCGCTGTGTTAGAGCAAGCAGTCTGGCACAATGGTTGCCACAGGAGATTCAAGGATTTCTTAAACATGGATGAAGAAATCAAATCAACGCTCCAGGTATGTTGTTGATGAGGGGATAACATTGTAACATGATATAAGACATAAAATAGTTGATCTTATGTAAAATCTCCCATTTAGATAGATACATGGCTAAATTTGTCCCTATAGGAAAATTGGTTAGTAGGATTGTCAGCAACCATCTAACATTTAACACTTAACTAAAACATATTAGTTTAAGACTAAATGAAGAGCAAAAATTGGTATGTGTTCAAAACAACCAATTCACCATGCAGAGCATTAGTGACAGTAAGATAATTATTTTGAGAAAGTAATGTTTTTAAAACAATGTGTTGATTTAGGACTACTAATTCGTAATCTAATTTTAATATTTTTGTCTCACAAGACTAAAATGACTTAAAACGGACATACAGAAGCATTTTGCTCTCTTAAACGGTAAATGGCTTGGCCCTGTATAGCGCTTTATCAAGTCCAGAGGACTCCAAAGAGCTTCACACTACATTCAGTCATTCACTCAGTCACACACATTCACACGCTCATGGTGGCAAGCTGCTGGATTGCAGCCTCAGCTGCCCTCTCTGACAGAGGCAAGTCCAACATGTACTTCAAGAACCATAAATGATTTCATATATTTATGAGAGCCAGTGGTTTCCTAAGACTGACTGCAGCAGAAATAGACAAAATCTGTGTTTTGGAAAGTTGGAGGATTCCTGCAAAACACAGCAAGACAGTGAAACAGATGATCACAAACAATACTCAAGCTGTTTCTCCTAACCTGACTTATCTCTGCTCAGACACAACCTCTTCCTTTAGTCATCCTTAAGAACCAGAACATCTCTGATGAACTAAGAAAGCCAGTTACAAGCTTCAAGTTGCAAAATAAAGGATGAATGGGAAGTAGTGCATTTTCATCATTGTGGTATTATAAAATAATAAGCATTGTGGGGAAAAACAGCATCCCTAAACCACTCCAACCTCAGTGTCAAAGATTCTCATTCCACAGATTCTACATGAAAAATCCTCACAGCCGAAATCTCCCAGTATTGTTCCCCTCAACCGACCTGAAGGCTTGTACTACTTGGAAAGCTGCTTTGAAATGTGCACAGATATCCTCAGTGACCCCCCTAGCCTCCCTTTTGCTTTTCCCACTCTTACCTTTACTTTTGAGGTGTGGTCTGCATCAGCAAAACTGCATGAAACAATACAGGTGTCACACCAAAACTTTAGTTTCAGCCTCAGTCCTGATCGTTTTAAGTTCACTTTGCATTCAATTATTTACAAAGCAAAGATTCTGTCGTGCAGGTGGAGATATTACAAGTGGGGATGAACACGACTGTAAAGAACGGTACATGGCAGGTTGGAGAGCACGAAGCGCGCTGCACTTCTGCGTTCATCGATAAATAATGAGTAGACTTCTTCAGAGGAGGAAAAACAAGAGTCTGTTTAACTACATGGATCATTTTAATCACTATCTTTTCAGAAAGCTTGTCTGGTTATGAGGTGGAGTTTAATTTCTTCATTTTGTGGGTTTTTGGCTAATGGTGAAATATCTGAGGATTAAAGTTGTTTTCTGTGTTCCTTTGATGGTCCGCCGTCAGAACGTGAGGCTATAGGCGACTCCACAGGAAGAGGTAATTTAAAATCATATAACTTTCTGATAAGTGTCTTCCCCTGGGCCACATCAAACAAGTGACAGAAGATATTGAAGTTTTCCCTTTGAGTTATTTTAACTGCTAAAGTCAGCTAAAACCGATGGAGCACATCTGATGAACTGTTAACTTACACCACTCCCAAAAATGTACTTTTATTTGGAACATCATAATGGTGACATGGCGTCTCGTATTTTATTTTTTTTTTACACATCAGGGTTTTATAACTGATAATTGCAAAGAACCTCAGTTCAAACAAAAAGCATTGAACCTTTTCTGCCATGAAAGTGCAACACAATGTTTTTCGCGTTGTTTAGCGTTGCTTTACATGTAGGTGGTAAACATACACCAACAGCCATTTTGTATGCAGAAAGACTGAAAGTTTGACTATTTAGAAAGACAGAAAGCCCTGAGCTTGAACTTGTCTCAATATGTCACTAATCCTGTTCTGGAGCAGATGACCTTAAAGCCACATCAGACAAAAAAAACCTCACATAAACAAGATGTACAACTCAAAACTAACATCTAATTTCAGTCATGCGGCTCACAGGTTTAAGAACATTTTTTTCTAGCCAACATAGTGGAAGTTTGAGTTCGATATCTCAGGCTCTGATCGCAGCACTCCATGGTCATGCTGCTCAACACTTCACAGAGTAATGAGATCATCTTTAAACCCCCCAAAACATGTCCTCCACATTACCAGCAGATGAGGAAAAGATCTCTAACCTCGGAGCTCACCCTGGACTGGTGGACTGGCTGAAAAGAACCAGGCACAATCTGCCAGCAGCGGTGCATGAAGTGCAGAATGCAGTGGATGCTTTGCAGTTAACAATTATCAGAAAATCACAATGTTAAAATAGAGAAACAACTAATGCACTCTTAGAAAGCAAATCATATTCTCAGCCCTGTTCTTAGTCAATAGCAGTGCAGCTGACAAAGAAGTCAAATATGCTGGCATTAATCGCTGTTTCGGACTATCTTCTTAGTCTTTGATTAATGAAAGTGTAACTATAATTGTGTTACCCTATTTAAAGTATAAAAGTTGATATTAAGTGTATTTTTGTCTATATTTATTTAGCAAGTGACCGGAGTCAATAACCTGCAATGCAAATCCTCATGGATTACACCATAGGTCTAATATATTAAAGATATGTTGTAACTGTTGTTCTTGTTGAATCAACCTTCCAGACCTCTCAGGTCTTCTGGTTCTGGTTCTGCTGTGCATCCCCAGAACCAGAATCAAACATGTTCTGAAGCAGCATTCAGCTTTGCTCCACAAATCTGGAACAAACTTCCACAAAACTGCAAAACAGCCGAAACACTGAGTCCCTTTAAATCGAGGCTAAAACCAGAGCTGTTTTGAACCACAATGGACCAACATATTCAACATGTATTGATGGTTTTGATGATGGGACTGATCAACATGTAATGCTTGTTACTTCTTTTCTTAAGTTTGACTGTATAGAGTCTTTTATGACTTTTTCTTATTTTTATGACGGTAGAGCACTTTGAATGCATTGTTGCTGAAATGTACAAAATAAACTTGATTGACTGATTGAAAACTTTTGCCTCACAAAGGTAGAAATTCGGTTAATTGCTTAGCAGAATGTATAATTCTTGTTATAGATTCATAAAAATATTTGCGAAAAACTATATACACACCACCCAGGGAACCGTTCCCTGAAAAATGTTAAATCGATTCAAAATTTTCGATACGAACGATTCAATTAGAAAACAAAAGCTAAGATTTGTCTTTTATTAATCGATTAGAAAGGTTAAAAGTTAGTCCGCCCTTCACAAGTGGTTCAAATAGCCTCTTTTTTGCGTTTGCTCTTTGATTCGGTGGATTTCGGTGGATGAATAGAACTGTTCATTAATCGCGGCTCTAGCGCCTCTCTCTCACTCCGGTCCGCTCCTCGTCAGGTCTCCTCAGCTCAGAGTCAGTCTGAGAGGAGTCTCTCCGAGGCAGCGCACCGCCAGACAGCAGCCCAGACTACTTCATGAATTACAACTAACAGCTTCTTAAAATGAACTAACAGCTTCATTAGTCAGGGTTTTCTTTCGGCAGATTATTCCCGCCACTCCTGACAGAGTGAAGCTCGGTACTTCTCACTGTATTTGTTCTTCTCTGGAGAGTCGCTGGAGCCCCTGACACCGCGGAGGTAAGCCATGCCCCCCTCACGTTCCGACTAATTTTCCTGCGATTAATTAAGATTAATGTCGTTTTTAGCCTCTGCTCTCACTCAGGTTTTGTTGTTGTTGTTGCTGTGACATGAGTCGAAACCCGTTTATATATATATGTGTGTATATATATATGTATACCAAAAACATTTTCCAATAAAATATGGAAATAGAAGTAAAAAAAAATGTTTTACTGTTCTAAATTTAAAAGTAACAATAAAAAAGAGGCAAATTAAACTTAAACAACAAAAACAGGAAACATTTTTTAACTTTTGGGAACACAACTTTATGTTTTTATTTTATAGTGGTTTGTTTTATGAGTTAGGAGTTGACAAAAATGACGCTGTTATACAATAATCACAATCCTATTTTCCCCTTTTAAAAAATTATTTATTTATTTTTTTAAAACTGCAATTTTCCCTCTCTGCATTTAACAAGCACTTTGCCGCCTGGCAAATAACGCTTTATGTCCCTTTATGAAACAGAAAATGGGGACAAACAAAGCAGGATTAACGCACAGCGGTGACATATGGGATTTTTTATTTTTTTGTTTAGAAATCCATGTGACTCGGTCCATGATTTCCAACAGGTTGGACTTGATGACATTGTAGGTTCTTGCACAGCTGACTCTGAATCATAATTTTTAATCAGTAAGCTGTTTTCACTAAGCAGCATTCAGCTGCCTGTCGGTGTGCGATTGCGTGTGTCATGAGTGGCAGTAGCACTGCCACTCATGACACATGTGCGTGGCTGTGTGTGTGTGTGTGTGTGTGTGTGTGTGTGTGTGTGTGTGTGTGTGTGTGTGTGTGTGTGTGTGTCGGTTCACCTGAGTATTTTCAATATTTTTAATGATCTTATTTTGAAAAGAATCAAGCACAGCACAAATGTTGTTTACTTGGTCATATTTTAAATTGGATCTGCACCTTTCTGTGAGAAAGGCAGAGATCAGCACCTCTGGTTATATTTACAGGCTTTGCGCAGTGATGTTTCCGTTTAAAGAGGCTTCTTCTTATATATCTGGACTGCTTGACTTGTTCAGAGTTTCTTGTTTGAGGAGAAAGAGAACTGTTTGTCATAAATTGCCTGAAAAGGCCCGTTGAGGATTTCGTAGGTAAGCTGATAAAGCTTCGCCTTCGGCTCCCAAAGTTAAGTGAATATTGAATACCTCGGTAAATTTGTGTCCACAGAGTGATTCCTGTTTCTGAAACAATCCCTGGTCAGAAACGCGGGTCGATAATTGTTTTCATGCTTACTTCGACTCTGACATGAGCGTAAAATCCTGACAGGTCCAACAGCAGCTCTCAGTGCATGCAGATTTATGCGAGTGTGTTGGTAGTCAGCCATGTCCAATATTTATTAGTCTGAATGTGTTTATGTGAAGCAGTACAAAACTCCTGGTTGCTACTTTATGATTGGTTAGTTATTTTTGTGTTGTCCTTTGTTAGAGAGGCTGACTCCATTGACTTGTTCTTGACTAAGGTTGTGCGAACCTGAGTCTTAACTTGACTTAAGTTAACAGTAAAGTTAAACTGACTCTTATTTGAATACAACTTTGGTGACTTCTTTGGGTGAGCAACAACACACACAGACACCAGTGGCGTGCAACTGTGGTGAAAAAGAAATTCTGAAAATGATAAGAAAAAAAAATTCTCCCCTTGACTGTTCTATATTGTTTTCTGTATGATTTCAACTTTTTTATGGTTAAAATTTTTGCATTACTTTTTCAAATACGTCAAAGAAGTCCAGTGCGAGGCAGTGCAGTGCTGTACCTCGCCTCTGGTGGCGCTGTTTCACATGCAGTGAATGAATTAGGCAGATGATACTTGACACGATTGAGTACACACGCGCTACATATGCTGACGTTCTAGTCTGTCTATATAATTGATGAAATTAGGTGATGTAATTTGTCATTCTGATCAGTCAAAACTGGCAGGTTGAGGCAAAAAGTACCACACAGCACTGATAGGGGGCACCACTGAGCCCCATATTCTATGCATTCTGTTCTGCATTATGTTCTATGCATTAAAAATGCAGAAAACAATTATGAAAGTACAACAAAATATAATACAGATCCAGGTTTGACTTTCCTTATGGCGATCAACTCCTTTTAAGCTGCCGAGTTTTTAAAAATGAAGGCAAAGAAGGACAATTTTACAACAAAGTGACAGAGGTGGTTGTGTTGACGCATAGACAAATACAGGTAAGATCATGACTTTAAAGTTTAAGTAAAAACTTTAAAATAATGTTTTTAAAGTTGATTTATAAACATCAACTTAAAAACATCAACCAATCTAGAAAAAAATAGAATTGCAAGCAGTTATCACGGGTTCCTCTCCCGACCCAGCACGCCCCGCCTCCTCTGCCCCTCCCCTCCTAACTGTGTCCTCTCTGGTGACCCGCCAGGCTTATAATACACCTGGGGAAACCCTGAGTACTGACTTGATTAAAATAACAAACTATGTCTTCATTTAGGTCAAAAACATGGGCTGCTACTTTGGATTTCATATATTTGTAGATCCGACTCCAGAGAAGTGAAAGCTTCACGATTCATTAACCTCACCACATGTTACTGAGACAGTCTAAGGAAAAGGAAGACGCTTTGAATTGACACAAGCTGCCTTCTTCTAATGTTAGTTTCTGTCTGCTGAGCCTGCTCTGGCATTTGGAGGACAGGCTATCGGTATTGCCTGTAGCGTTAATATCAGGGGTGACTTCATCGGAAAAAGAATGGATTTTAAGCTCGTCTGCTTTGTGACAGGATGCAGGACACCGTGAAAAACGCTTAGAGCTTCTGAATCACTAAATATTTTTAAGCAGCTGTAGCTGATCCCACTGTTTCCTTAGACGAGCGTTGCATCTTAAACGATTTCTGTCTAATGAACGTGGGCTGCATGCGATGAACTGCTGATCATTGAAGTGGAACATTAAACATTAACATTAACATTAAACATCGCAAGATCACGAGGAAGTTTGAATTGCCTGCGTCTGTGCGGCTCACATGCAGATGCAGGGAGGAGGCGAGGAGTGTCTGCATCGCACTTTTCTTCCTGATCATTGGTTATAAGATTCAAGCATTTAACGAGGTTGTCTCGCCTGGCTCTTTCATGTCAGTTCATTGTTTCCTCATGAACAACAGTGAATGACTCGCTCTGATGTTGTGTGTTTATTATGGAGGAAACAGTAGAGTGGAGAAAAGTGAAGTGGTTTTCACCATCCCATAATTCCCTGCCTAACAGAAATGTACCTGCTATGTTGCATCAGTTTCGCAGAGAAGCTATCAAATGCACCGCAGTTTGTCCTAACAAGTATTCAGTTGTTTTGTTGTCTGTTTTCTTTTCTTTTCTGTTGGCACTGGCTACAATTTTAGGTACTCTTTTATTACAAACAGCACAGAAACCAGTCGCTACCTTTCAATATTCATCTCTTCAAAAATTTGGATCAAATGACAAGATGCTAAATGCAATGATAGGTCTGATTAAGATATTAGCGATTATCTTTCTTCGGTAAGAACTGTTGGCTTCTTCAATATCAACATGGACTTTTAAGGTTTCGGAAATAAAAACACACAAAAGATCAATTTAGAAATAGAATTCCCAATAGCAAAACATCTATTTGGAAAAAATACCTTTTGTATGTCTCTTGTTAATAAAATTTCAGGCATTAACATTTGAAAGAGAGGCTAGAGATTTGTTTTTTTTAAGAATGGGGAAAATGTTCTTAACATTTAAATAAAGAGTACTAAGTAACATTAACATTTTTGAGCTTTACATCATGTTATAATGTTATTCCCTCTTTAAAAAGCACACCTGGATTGTTACCCTGAGTCTTTCATGCATGTTTGAGAAATCCTATAGTCTCCCACGGCAACCTTTCAGCTGTGAAAAACACCTTGATGGACCTAGCCCCGCCTTCAGGACGCAGTTCCACCTCAGAGCTGCGTTTTCCAAGCTTTGCATCTGCCAGTATTACAGGAGCTACTTCTGTACAACAATGGTGAAAATGTGTTTAAGCCATGTTGTGACGACTTCCTGAAGTCGGAGTTGCAGAAAGAGCCGGAGGTTTTAAAGAGACACAGACCCAATTTCAAGGCGTTCAGTTATGAAGTCACATTTCTTATGAGTCATTACATTAAGTAACATTTTTATAACAGCTGAAGGAAACATTTTTATTTGATTGTGTTATTTGAACATATAATGCTGCCCCTTTAGGCATGTTGGTGGTAGTTTGATAGTCTATGCTTGCTTTGCTGCCGTATACCTGAAAAATGGCTGAATTCAAGCAATCCTACCACAAACTGTGGGACTAAATTCGTCCAACACTTCATGGTTGTTGTCACTGCCAAGACAGGCGCAACCAGATAGTAGTTTTAGCAGGCAATTATTGTTTTATATAGTGTCAGCTTGGTTTGGAAACATTTTGATCCGAAGAAATGGAAACATCATTTAAGAACTGTTTCTTTTTTTTAGTTACTTATAGTAAGCTATAGTCTGAATTTTAATGACCAGAGAGACTAAAGCTTGTCCAAAATAAATAAATAAATAAATAAATAAATAAAACATTCAGACCATTATATGTTTAGGTTTAGTCTCCTCTGTTTCGCTCATTTATAAATCTCAATCTCTATCTAGTTTCTCTACACAACCAGAACTTTTCTCCCCTTTCATCTGAAAAAAAAAGATTACACAGGAAACACAGGAAAAAAAGTTTTCCTGCACATTTTTAAAAGCGCTTCTCATCTAAATTGTTCTTCGCTCAATAACTCGTTTAACAAAAACAAGGAGCTGTTTGGCTCCCTCCTGACTTAAGGTCAGATTTCAGCACCATGGACAGAGTCAGTCCTTTATCTGACTACATTATGAGGGAAATAAAGTATTATACATACTTTCCTTGAAATCTAAGAATAAAAAGTTTGAATATTGGACAAAAATATGTGTACTAACACGATTCAACCAAAAGAGAAATGCTGCCAGTTGAAACTCTT